GAGACAGACTGGACCATGCCAGCTATCCCAAATCCCTGTGAACAGGGTTATAAAACTTGACAAGGCTGTTGCAGATATTTCATACCCTATTAAAGATGTAAAACCACTGACAGAGATGAGCCACTTACAGATGCTAACTCACTGCTGGTGAAGGAGGCTGACAGCAAGGGGAAGGTCAAACAAAGGATTTTAGTGGGTGATGATCAAAAACACATCCAAGTGGAGAGAAATGGCTGAATGGAAGGTAAAAATTGTTAAACATCACCAAACCAACAGCTTCTGTCATTCCTAATAAATGGATGAATAGCGTACTTTGCCAGTCAGTTGCATATGCAGAGGAGAGTTGGCCTGTGACACCAATTAGCCAGGGTTTTATCCCAGCACAGACCATTCCCAGTCATTAAATTTAGAGCTACAAAGTTGACCAAGAGACTGGAACATCTCTCTTTTGAGGAAAGGCTGAGGGAGATGGGCCTGTTCATCCTCAAGAAGGGGCAACAAAGAGGGAAGCTCATCCAAGTCTATGAGTGTTTAAAGGAGGCCTGCCAAGAAGACGGACCAGGCTCTGCTTGGTGGTGCCCAACAGTAGGACAAGAGGCAATGGGCAGAAGCTGATGCACAGGAAGTTCCACCTGAATATGAAGAAGAACTTCTTTATATGTGAGTGACGCAGCACCGGAACAGATTGCACAGAGAGACTGTCTCTCACTGGAGATGATGAATGGCCTGTACACAATCCAGTGCCATGTGATCTTGTATAACCCTGGAAACAGAGAGGTAGGACCAGATGACCCACTGTGGTCTCTTCCAACCTAACCCATTCTGTGATCTGTGATTCTGTAATTCAGTAGCAGTGGCTCTGCCACTGCAGCTCCCTGCCAATGGTCCCCTGGTCCTGGCACATTCAGTCCTCACTTCCTGAGTAATTCAGTTCTGCTTGCCTCTTTCAGCCATGCACTTTACTGCAATTTCTCCAGCCTTGTTTATTCTTCAAAGCATTAAGTTCTAGATCTAGACTTAAACTCCATTACTACATTTAGGTTCTAAATCCAATATGTAGACTTCAAACACATGCTGTAATTCCGTACAACTGTGTGACTCTCCTCCCCTCAGTGTTTGACTGGGCCTTTATCCCCTCTTTGCATTCATTGACATCAGCGGTGCTTGATCACATCATCTGCATCCCAGAGCAAGTAGCAGAGGGGTATTTGTGTAGGTTGCTTCTTTATGCTTCTTTATTCACACTGACAAGTCCTTTTAGTTCATCTCATTAACTCTACCACAGAATCCAACCGTACTTGGAGCAGGCAAATGTGGAGCAATCTTTGTAGTTACTTTTTAAATTTACTCTGGAAGTTTTGACTCCTGTGGGTGAGGCACAGAGGAAACATCAAAGACGAAAAGTGCTTGAGAGTATATGACTGTATGTCCTGCAGATCACTGCATGACACCTGCTCTTGGAAATTATTCCCCTTGTTTCAGAAGTGCCTTATTTGTCATTCTCCTCCCCCCCCTTTTTTTTTTTTTTGGCCAGCTTGAGGGTAACTGAACACTGCTGTCATTGTACAAAGCAGTACAATACAGGTCAGGGGCAGACTCATCCCTTGCCCAAGCTTTTAACCTGTTGGCAGTTGTTTGTGTCGAGCAAACAAACAAACCATTTTCTGTCAGTTTTTTCCCATACTCTCTGTCGCAGGGTTACAGAGCTTCCTTCAGCTGAGGTGTCTTTCATTTCATGAGTGTTAGTTTAAAAGGATTTGTGATATTTCAGGTGCAAAATGATGTTGAATATGCAGCTGGAAAATTGCGGCATACAGAGGTTCTGTATTTACTATCTGATTTACTGTAAAATCTTGGTTGAAACATCTAAAATTCCCAGCCCAGCACTCTTGCTGTTTACAGGAGTACTGAGGAGACATTCAACACTGATCTCTGCTCTCTGGTGACCAGTGATAGTAGTACTGAAGGCACAACATGGAACTGTGTCAGAGGAGGTTTAAGCTGGATACTGGGAAATGGTTCTTTTCCCCAGAGGATGGTTGGGCACTGAAAAGGCTCCTCAGGGCAGGGCAGTTGTCATGGCCCCAAGGCTGCCAGAGCTCAAGGAGTGTTTGGACAACACTCTCAGGCACATGGTAGGATTTTGGGTTTGTCCTGTCCAGGGTCAGGAGTTGGACTTGATTATCATATTCTATGATTCTCTGATTCTATTATATGCAATTATGAGTAGTTCTCAGCATTGTAGTAGGGCTCAAGAGTGGCTATTTATTTGTGAAAGAGGAGCAAAGAAGGATATACCACTGTGTGGATGCTATTCCTGCTGGTACTGTCTCTCATTTGCCTGCTATGCTGATGTGTTTATGAAATACAGGCAGATTTATGGTGCAGCTTTGCACTGGTGAAGCATGCATTGATCCCCATCTACAGCCTGCTGGGTTGATACATTCTCGTTTCTCAGGTGAGGAGCGCAGACATCAGGGATTAGTCTGCCCAGGTGACACAGGCTTCTCTTGAGGCTTGGGTTTATTCTCTAAGCTTTACAAAATTCCCTGGTAAGATTTGGTTCCTTGGCAGCTTCTGCTCCTGTACAAGTTAATTTATGGCATGTTCTAAAGTTTGTCTTCAGATAAATATCTCTTAGGGTCACACAATTTTCAAATAGACAGTCCTGGATATGTCTGTCAACAGAACAGCAAGTGCCTGGCTTTGAACCACTCTTATTCAACTGTGATTTGTTTGTGCTTCCTCAGAGATATGGAGCTTCCTGAATAATTTGTTACCCTGTGTTTGAGATGAGGGCTCTGTTAGGGAAGAACACTATGCCCACTGCTGCTTCCTGGCAACTAAGGTTTTTTTCAGTTAATACAGTGGAATTAACCATCACTTGTTGGTTTTCCCAAAAGCTGTAAAAACATTGTGGTCAGGTAGTTGGTGCTGTGAGACAGACAGACCTCTTGTGTGCCCAGTCACCAGGAAAATAGGAAATAACACCCTTCTGCATAAACAAATGCCAGCTGTGTATCAGTACAACTGGCTTTCATGTCATCCTTGCTGAGGATGAAGATGTTCTTATTTTGTGTTTGTACATGTTGTGTGAAGTGTTTTGCCTCTGTGGGGGTCTCTTCCATGTAAGCACAGGACTGCTGATCTACACATCACACCAAGATTTACATGGCAGGCACTGGGCATGAGGAAAAGGACTTCAGAGGAGTTCAAACACAACACCACAATTCCTTTTCTAACCACTCTGAGAAAGTGTCTTCATGCTCTAATTAAACAGTGTTTTGACATGTTTTTGCTGTTTTGATTGCCTTTGAACTTTGGCAGTGTGATAAACAAACTTTGTTTCCTTTCTTACCAAAAGCTGTGCTGCCTTGAAGCAGTTTATGTCCTTCATTCTGATGTGGCAGAGCTTAGCATCCTCTTCTTGTGGCATTCTATGTGTGCTGATGCCAACAGCAGAGTGGATTGGCAGCTGTTGTTTTTTGTTATGAGCAGGTTTCTTAGTGGTTCCACTTGCTGCTATTTATCGTTGCAAAATTCAGTGTTGAAATCTGATACTTCTAACACACTGTGTTGTCCTGACTGAGGTGAACACAGGGACACAGCAATGGGAACAAAAATCCATTGTTTTACAACTCAGCAAATATTCTTTAGGCTCTGCAGGCACCAGCTTCTTCACTTCCTCCTACAGAAAGGAAAGCAGCACTCCAGTCATACCTCCTTATTTGCAAACAGTGGCAAGGTTATACTTTTTCAGGACTCAGGTTTTTTTGCAGCCCTGCTGCTCCTTAAGGACTTCAGCCCACTGGGCACAGCTGGAGCCTTCAAGACACTCCTAAAACATTGTAGACATCACAAGAGATTTGCAGTGGAAATTCAGCCTCTGATTAAGAGAAAAAAAATGTGATGACTGGGCAGTGAAATTTGCAATTTGAACCAGAAAGCTTTCAAAGAATTAATTTCTAGCTCTTATAGCAGTGTCACTGATTTTGAATGAACTTTCCCGTAGTTCATACTTTTTAGTGTTTTCTTTGTTCAGCAGCTGTGCTGTGCTCCCAAATGCTGGGATGTACATGTCGCATACCTGGTGTGTAATCTGCACCTGGCATGAGTTAATTGCTGTGCTGAGATCTGTGAATCACAGCTAAATAAACAGGCTCATATGAAGAGAAAACCTACTGGATTTGTGTTTTCCAGTTGAAAAAGTATCTGCGTCTGTTTATATTTAAATTGTACCCACTGTTCTGAGCTGTGCTTTGGCCTGAGGTGCTCAAGCTACTTTGAACCAACTGCTTCCAGCAGCAGCAGCCATGGGAATGCTGGGAATACACAGGAGTGGTGTCTCTGCCTGTCTGGTTGTGCAGGCACTAAGTGCAAACATGAGAGTGGACCATGGACACCCCACCTCAGCTCTCACACCTATCTCAAACCCAGCTGCCAAGGGCACCTCCTGGCTAAGGGGTGGCCCTGGCCGAAGGTAAACTCTTCCTTAGGTGGGAGCTGACTGGGGGCTCTTAGCTGAGCAAGGCCCTGGCTGAGGGGGGCTCCTGTCTGAGGAGAGATCCTGACAGAGATGCTGGCTGACAGGAGACCCAGCCTGGGATGGGCACTGACTGAGGAGATCCTGGCTGAGGAGAGATCCTACACAACGCAAGCCCTCGCTGAGAGTGGACCCTGCGGCAAAAGGGAACTCCTGGCTGAGGGGATATCCCGGCCTAGGCAGGCATTGCCTGAGGGGCTCTATCCGGGGCAAGGGGCCACATCCGGAACGTGCCGCAGCTCCTAGGGGATCCCAGTGGGTCGGGTCTAATCCCCCTACATGCCCCGGCCCGGCCCGGCCCCCGAACAGCCTGTGACCAGCACCCCGGCGCCACCGGCGTGTCCAGGGCGTGGCAGGCCATGAGGGGCGCGGCCAGTGAGGCCGGCAGACCGCGGCGGAGACGGGAAGGGAGGAGCCTGGAGGGGTGAGGTCGGCGAGGCGGGGCTGGGGCGGCAGTCGGGCGGCAGCCGCGGCCGGGGCGGGAGCGGCGGCAGCGCGGGGTGGGTAGCGTCGCCCCGTGTTGCGGCATGTCCAAGACGCTGCGAAAGAAGCGGCACTGGCTGAGCAAGGTGCAGGAGTGCGTGGTGTCCTGGGGCGGCCCAGCGGGCCCCGACCCCGATCTGCTGCGCGGCGGCGCCGAGCGCGGCGAGTTCCCGTACCTGGCGGGCCGGCTGCCCGCGGGCGGCGAGGGCGCGCCGGGCCCCGCGCTGCTCTCGGGCAAGGCGCCGGCGCCGGGGGACGTGCTGCTGGAGGTGAACGGTACGCCGGTGAGCGGCCTCACGCACCGCGACACGCTAGCCGTGGTGCGGCACTTCAGGGAGCCCGTGCGCCTCAAGACCGTGCGCCCAGGTGAGTGCCCTCCGCCGCCGAGCTGGACCGAGGCCCTCCCGCCGCCGCCCAGCCGGCCGCGCGTAGGCCCGGCCGCGCCGGCGCCCTGCGGGGCGGCGGGAGGGCCGCGGCGGGAAGCGGCGCCCGGAGGCAACCGGGCGGAATCCGGGGCGCGGGTGCCCCGCTGGGAAAGTTTCCGCGGGTTCGGGAAGGTGCCACTGCCGAGCGGCGTGATGTGAGGGAGGAGGCGGCCCCGGGACGGTGCTCGCTCCCCCGTCCCGTCCCGGTGGCCTCCCCCGAGGGTCCTCTCCCCGCCCGGAATGCCCAGCTTCGCGCCGCTGCGATGCGGTGTTTGTGCGGGTATGACCCTCGCGGGCCTCCGGGTGACTCAACGGCCTTCTGAGGGTCCGGTGCCTGCGTCCTCTTCTCGGAGGTGCTTTCCGTGGTGTTTATATAATCCGATGCTTGCAGAGGTCGAGGGGAATGGCCGGGATGGAGCACCGGAGTGCCATCGCTTCATCCTGTTGGTTTCCCATTGGCAGAGATAAAGAACCCTGAGAACAAACTCCGGCTGTTCTTTTTTTCCACAGATTTGTGTTATTTCTGAGTACACTTCAATTAACTAATGCTTGTGGTAAAATTATGTTTATCAACGTGCCTGTTAAATGTCAAATTAATGCTGAATGGTGGCACCTGCAGCTGCATGAGTTAATTCATGAGCTCTTTCTTGGTCAGGCAACCCAGATGTGAGCCTACTGCCTTATAAGAAGGTGTCTAGGGAAAAAATATTTTTCTCTGAATCCCAGTGGATATCAGTGTTTCTATGATGGGGGTCTATAATATTTCTCATGGAGCTTCTTTGCTGAACACTTCTTTTGTTCTTCTTTGGTAACTGGTGGGTGCTATTTGACTTCACGTAATATGTATTTTCAGTCAGGTTTTCCCTGTTTGACCACTAATGGAAAGTCATCTTCCATACAGAGACTGTGCTGTTGGTCCTGATTCGTATAGCTTGCTACATTAAAACAACAATCAAAAAATTGAAACAGACATGCATCTTAAAAGCACCTACAGAAGCCTGGTAGGTTTTGAAAAAGGTCTTAATTTATAAAATTGTAAATCCTTTCTGAAGGGAGAAAATGGAAAAGAACAAATAGCTGCAAGTTAGTTGTGAAGTAAGAGGATTTTAAAAAGAGGGACTAATTGTTTAAGATAGAAAATAATCTCTTTTTAAAAGAGAAAGCTTGTGGAAGATGAAACTATAGTTCAGAGGGATTTCTTGTATGTCCTATGGAGTGAAATAGGAATATTCTTGTGCTTGGGAATTTCTATAACAGCAATGTCAAACTATCAAAATTGGCAGAAAAGATTTAGAAGTAATTGTTGCAATTAGCAATAGAAAATGGCAAGAACCAGATGATGTTCATGAGGACTTCCAGATATTGATTGTTAACAGTAGTGTGTTACCTGTTTCTTAAATTCTAGGTGGTGTGGAAGGAATGGGAGTGGGGAATATAGAATACTGATGAGAAACGGGTCCAGAAGATCAACAGAGGCTGGTTGGTGATTCCAGCAAGTTGATTAATATTTGGGTTTTAGAAGAGAAGGAGACTATTGGGCATGTGAACCGATACCACTTAATGAGGAGAGTGGGCTGCTTTCACTGGCTGGTTTAATCAAATCAGAGTATTTTGGTGAGGTGGATTTTCAAGTAGGCTTTCAGTAAGGTATCACTGACTTGGATGAGGATCTTGCTGAGTGAGCATGGTGTGGCAGCATAGCTGCCAAAATACAAGAGCAGAATTCTCCTGTGGCTTAGTAACTGGTTAAAACAGAGGAATGGTTTTTTAAACAGAGGAAAACTGCTGCTGGAGTCTTGTAAGGACCTGTGCTATTTAGCATAGTCATCCAGAGCTTGTAAACCCAATGCTGGTGAGTTATACAAAGAGAAGTAGCATTTTTGTGCTGATTTTATGTAACTTTTGGAACTGATCAAACTGAATCTTCAGATCCAGCAAATTTTCCCATACTGAAACATATGTACCACATCAGATTATTTTTGTAGTAATTTTCTCTGTTAGATTTAGTGTCCTTGAATACAGTATTTTAAAACATACTAGTTTTTTGCAAGGCTGCCACAGCTGCTCAGTGGCAGTTTTCCAGTCAGGGTATATGTAATTAGGAAAGTTGTTGACAAGGCATTCTCTGTGAAGACCTATGACTTTGAATTTGGCTTCCCTTTTGATCCAGAGCCATCCAAACCTGCCAAGTTCTGGAAGATGTCTGGGAAGGTGCGTGGGACCATGTGGGTGGTTGAGATGGAGGGAGTGAGGGCCAGGAGCTGGTGGTCCCTGATAGGCATTCTCAAAGACATGTAATTGTGTTACTTCATTTCAAGATCCTGTGTTCATGATTTTCCTCAGTCAAAACTGAAACTATCATTTGAAAGGCATGGAGTGCTCTGCCAGCAGACCTTTGTGTGCCCCATGGTTCTTCAGGCTTGGGTGCTATTGGGACAGAAGTCCGAGGGGATCCAGTGTCAGGGGTTGACAGTGAGGGATTTGTCTCCTTGAATCTGATAGTAATTCTGATTTTTGTGATGATGTAGCAGATCAGCACAAGTCTGCAATCTTCCTATTGCATTTTTCCTCTCACTTTCTGTTCAGCAGAACTACATAAAGAATTTACTCAAAAATACAAAGAGCTTCTATTTTTCTGAATTCAAATCTAGTATTCTCAAGAATACGGTTGCTTTGAAGAAGAAAATTGTTCCCATCCAGGAAACAAGAAGCAATTTGACTAACAGTCCATGAACACAATATATTTCTTAAAAGGAAGCATTGTGAATTAAAAACAAGAACCAGAAAAATGAATTTAAAGAACGTCAAACAGAGCAATAATGAAAACTAGAGTAATTTTTTCACCTGTCAATGTGAATGTACAATCCTCGTCATATTTTAAAATTCTATTTTTTTAAGTTTTGCAGCTGAAAAATAACTTGAAGCAGATGCTTAAATAATAAAAGAGCACAGTGCATAGCAAGTTATATGAGCATCACTAGCTTACTTTAGGAAGTTTTCAAAAAGATGGTTTAGTTTCAAAGTGTCTTTGTTTTATCAATGCAAAATGAAACTTCCTTAAAAAAATTAAGGATATTGTATCTTCTGAGATAAAACACAGCCATTTTCTACAACTGACTAGCATTTCATTAAATCCAGACAAGAACTGAAGAGTCATACCTAGACAAAAGTCATTGAGGTTAAATCTGTGGTTGAAATCATGACTTCTAATAAAGGTTCATCTTTAGTTCATTCTTGACTTCATTCACAGATAAAAAAATCCTCCTGCCATTGCAGAGTAGCAGCAAAACTACTCTTCAGGGGTTTTAAGCAAGATCTCTGCTGGCATAGACACCTAAGGTTGGTGGGGGTCAGCATAAACATATATGGAAGAATTTCAATTGAAACTGTCTACCTGCACAAGGAAAGTTCTTTCCAGGAATATCTGGAATGCAGGTACTTGATTGTACAGTCCCGGTGAAGATCTGATTCCCCTAAAACAGGGGAGCCAAAGAGGTGGGTTTAGAGAACACAGACAGCACTACTTGCCCCACCACCAGCTCCAGATAAATGCACTATCCTACAGGGTCTCTCCTGAGAGACATCAAGGATCGAAACAGAGAAGAAAACTGCTCTCCTGAAGGAAACAAAAACGTACAAATTAGTCGCAAAAGCCACATGAGGCCTCCTTATCATCTGAAATGACCACACCAAGAAAGAGCGCAGAATCATTAGAGGGCATCGCTGGTGCAATCATTACCACTGATGATGCACTCATCACAGTAAAATTTAAACACGGAAGTATGTGAAAGGGAAAGGCAATAGGATCTTGCTCAAGAGTACGTTTATATAAAGAGGAATTTTAGAAGCAAGATTGTCAATTACATGAACATCCTAATAGCCAGTGGTAGTAGAGCTTAATAGTCCTCTGCGTCCATACAATTAAGGTGCAAGCTTTTTGTGCAAGGCAGCTCCCAAACTGATACAGGACAATTTTAGAGAGGCAACAGCCTCCAGCAGAAAGCATGTCCCCTTCAGTTTTCCTTTTCAAGACAGCATCATTTGATGAAACTGGGATACCTCCATTCATTACAGTGGACCTGTATGCTCTGGGCTTTTCGTAGCATGGTCAAATGACTCAAGCTTTCCTCTGCAGTCCAGAACGGGTTGGCTCCTCACTAACTCTCAAGCAGGGAGGGCAGTTTTCCACAGCAGCACTCAGTAGCCTCTACCCAACATCCACCAAGGGCTGTGGGACCTGAGCTGGATGCACAGCTCCTCAGTCTTCCTGGGTAATACATTCCTCTCTTCCATCATAGAGCTAGACCACTGCCAGCTTCCACAGAAACACAGAATTAGGGTAATGCCTTTCCTCTGAGAGACAAAATTATCTTAGTGTATGTACTCTGATCTGTTTCAACATGGCACCTTTAGAATGACCAAAAATATTCCCGGAAAGCATTTTAAAATAATGGGGTTTAAGGTATTTGAGTTAGGTCTTAGATTATTTGTAAACATGTCTTTCTTAGCTCATGAAATCAGGCAACTGGGTGAATCCAAATAACTAAATGAGTTTTAATTATTGGTATTCTAAGCAAAAATTACCTGATTTGGTTTTACGAATAAAGAACATAGTCTTGTAAGTCATTGAGAATGAAATTCCTGTGGTGGTTAAGACTGTTAGTAAAAGTTATAGAGAAATAGACAAAGCAGCAGATAGGCAACTTTGTGCTTTTCTTTGTGTGATGTTTTTCACAAAGTTAACTTAAAGATAAGAAAATGAAGTATGTATTTGAGTGTGGTTTAGTGGAAGATGTCCCTGCCCATGGCAGGGGGTGGAGCTGGATGAGCTTCAAGTTCCTTTCTGACCCAAACACTTTCGGGATTGTATGGTGTGATCTTTAGATGACTGGGTGGTTTGCTGTCTAGTTTAGTAATCCCTGTAAAAGTATTGTGTCTCTT